CCAAACCCCTTCCCCCCCCCCCCATGAAATAGGTCTGGCTGAGAGCGTGTCACCCAGCAACCTTCCATGGAGGGTTGGGGATGTGAGTATTAGAGATGTGTGTGTGCAAAGTTCCATTTCAAATACCTGGGGGCGGGGTTGTCTTGAGATTAGTTTGGGCTGAGATAGTTCCATGTCTTTCATTTTTGGCCATGGAACACCCACAGCCAGGCTAGGATATTCCCATGCCTTTTATTTTTGGCCCTGAAATACCTACAACCATCCTGAAGCCTTTGGCCAATTTTGAGTCTCCTAGCTTTTTTCTCTACATGGACAGGCTGATTCTTTTATTACTGTAGATTACTAGTAACCACAATCAAGGGATTTGTTTTGCTTTATGATATTTGGGGGGAAGCAGGTACAGTCTTTGGGAGTCCATGGTGGCCACCTGTTATTTCATGCCATGACCGCCTGTCACTTCCGCAGAAAGCAGTTTCCTGGGGTCACCTTCTTTGGGGGGCCATAACTTAGACCCCATAAGTCCAATCCTGACCAAATGTGGAGGGTAGATAGAGAAGAGTCGGTCAGAGATCCCCTGCAAGTTTGGTGACTCTAGCTTGCTCAGGATCCATCATTATCAGGTGGTAATTTTGACAGTCGGACGTTCAGGAGTGTACAAGCTAGAGAAATTGAAGTTGCAAGGGACCTCCCCTGGATGCTCATCCAAGTCCCTCCCCTCCCGTTGCTTTTAAGTTTGGCAGACAATCTGTCTGGAAATGTTTCCATTCATGAACTGGCACAAACCGCCATGAACAGCTGGAAAGTTCATTGGAAAGTGAACGTTTTCACTTCACAAGCCATGAACTGGTCAAAATTCATCATAAACTTTCATTCATGAGCTGGTTCATGCCCATCCTTATTCCTGAAGCTTCTTTTAAGTCTCATTTATGTAACATGGCTGAAGGTTTATTTGCATAACCTTTGCTTCAGTATTCATATAAGCTGCCTTTTGTAAGAAAATAGGTATTGGTTCTGAATGGTGCAGGGATGAACAGGGTTCTGTTATGCCCTGTGATCAACCTTCATAGGGAAGGATTATGCCTATACCTTATTTACTGGAAAGGAAGAGGACCTGATAAGACAACATCCTGAAAAAAAACCCTATACATAAAATTTAGTCCTGTTCATGCCTGTAATTTATACGTGGATATAAGATGAACCCACCTCCCACTATTTTTCTTGATGGCACTCCGGGGGGG